CTGATTAATGCATTTGTCTCTTGAAGTGCCTCATGTCACTCACAAGTAAAGCCACTTGCTCAAACAAAAGAAATACACTTATTCCACCTGCTAATTCTGTTTCTATCCATAGCTGCTGCTGAACCTCTTCGGTAATTCAAACATTTTCTGTTTTTATTTCAGATTTCCAGCATTCACAATGTATTTCTTCTGTATTAGTGTTCAATTCACTGCCATTTCTCCTCATGGAACACGATCTTGAAGAAATTCTGCTCTTCTCTTTGTCAAGGTTTCTGTTTGTAACTTCTGCTTTATTCTCTTTTTTTATTTTCTATTCGTTTCTTGTATTAAATCAGATATCTACCAAAATTTGCTTTCATAGTTGCATCTTCTTCCTCAGCTGTTATATTTGTTTTCTGCATGTTCAATGTGGATTTCAGTTGAAATTTCACCCAGTATGTTTCGAATATCCTCACCATTACAGATGGTCAGGTTTAAATTCAGCATTCCTGGAATCGCTGTTCTTGCAGCATCCTGAGATCAACACGCAACATATTGTATTTCTAGTCTCTGCTTTCAGTAGCACAAACTTACTCTATTTAAGAGTTGAACTGTTCCGCAGTTGCACTTCATTATCTAATACTTTAACAATAAATCTTTTCCATCATGGCAGGTTTGAAGGATCACAGGCTTCTACAGCTTATGCGTATTAACACCTTTCATATCCTTCTTCCCATCCATGCCCTTTGACCCCCAGCCCTCTTTAATATTACTTCTTGCTGTGTATTCACTGTACCTTCTGATCTTCTCAGTGATCCTGAAAAATCTTTGGCAATTCCCCTCATTATCCCAGCTCAATGAATTTTGAGCTCAACATAAAATTGAGCTCTTCTTCCGTCGCGTTCACTTCTGAATCCTCTTCTTTAGACAGAGGTCCTCCTCCTTATACTCTACCTATTTTACTGGAGAGGACCTATGTCAAGTTAAAAAAGACACATTTTCCAACTAAGTGTTGGATCACGAAATGAGATTCTCGCAAATGAGCAGGAAGACGCTTATTGGCATGCATTGACAGTAGTATTACCTAAACTTGCATTGTAAATATGCAGTTTCCTATTAGGCATTAAACTACTATCTGTAGTCCAAATCCAGGTTCCAAACACTCCTGACTACATCATTCAGCATCAGGAAGCAATCTCACTAATGGCTGTGATACACTAACAATGTTTTGCCACCTAAACATTTGATCCTAATCACCAAAGTAAGAATCACCTACCATTTATCCATAACCTGCACATGGTGCAGGAGATGTTGACATAATTGCACCAAGGATGGCAGGGCTCTGTACCATCAGTGTTGGTTAGACAGACATTTGCATGCATAGCTGATGAAGAAAAGCGAACATATATTTACAAATGTGACCGTATACTTACAAATGTGCAATCTGTGTGCCCTCAGAAGATTTTTTTCTTTCCTTCCCTCCCACTACATTTCAGTTCAGTCCCAAGGTCCACAGCTGGGTGGAGGAAGCTGCCCTGAAGTACACCCTATTGGCCTTAGAGTTTTGGCAGGATGAGCTTGGTGGCATTTGTGTCTAGATGAGTGAGATATGCTGAGTGTGTCCTGCCCATAGACAGCTGAACCCTCTCCAGCTGAACTCGCACAGGGCTGAAGGTGCCAGGCAGTGTGGAGGTGAAGGGCCCAGCCATAAATGCAGTATCTTGAGAGAAAACGTCTAGGGGTCTGTGCGTGGATCCTGAAATGACGAGGTGCCCAGTGGCACCACTCTGCTTCCTAGTGAGAAAAGAACATATGCAGTGAGCAGAAGGCTCCTATCCCCCGTCACGTAAAGTGATGATTGCGGGTCTATCCACATAGCAATCAGATTCTTAGACACAGCAACTCAAAAATACCCATGGCCCTCTGGAACCTACCTCTCCTCCCCTTCCCTCTGACTCTATCCCCTCCCCCAGTACCCCCACCTCCTGTTGGGTATTCACCATCCCTCCTAACCTTCTGCTCTCCGATGCTGAATGCTCTGTACTCAGCAAAGGCCTCAGCTTTATCCCTCTGCGTCCCCACCTTAACGAATTTCGGGCACAACATGATGCCGAACTGTTCTTCCGCCATCTTCGCCTCCGTGCTCACTACTTTGGACAAGAGTCCTCTCCCCGTCCCACAGACCCCTTTGCCCAACTCCAACACTCTCCCTCCACCTGGACCCCTCCCTCCGGCCTTATACCTGCACTCGATCTTTTCATTGAGAACTGTCGACGGGACATTAGTCGCCTCAATTTCTCTGCCCCTCCCAACAAACCCAACCTATCTCCCTCCAAACTGTCTGCACTCCATGCACTCAGATCTAACCCTGACTTTGTCATCAAGCCTGCCGATAAGGGTGGTGCTGTTGTAGTCCGGCATACTGACCTCTACCATGCAGAGGCTGAGCGCCAGCTCTCAGATACCTCCTCCTACCTTCCCCTGGACCATGACCCCACCATGGCACATCAGGCCATTGTATCCACTACGGTTACGGATCTCATTTCATCTCGTGATCTTCCCCCATCCGCTTCCAAGCTAATAATCCCCCAACCCCGCACAGCTCGTTTCTACCTCCTGCCAAAAATCCACAAACAGTACTGTCCAGGTAGACCCATTGTTTCAGCCTGCTCATGCCCCACAGAACACACCTCTTCCTACCTTGACTCAGTCTTCTCCCCCCGGTCCAATCCCTACCCACATACATCCATGATTCATCCGACGCCTTACGCCGGTTTCAAAGCTTCCAGTTTACCGCTCCAGCCACCTCTTCTTTACCATGGATGTGCAATCCCTTTATACATCCATTCCCCATCAGGAGGGTCTTAGGGCTCTCCGCTTCTTCCTGGAGCAAAGACCTGAACCATCCCCACCCACCACC